TGAAAAGAACCTGTCTCCGTCTGTCGCTGTGTGGAAATGAGATGCCTTCTATTAACACACATGCCTTTTGTCAGGTCCCTCAGGATGACAATCCCACCCTAGGCTCAGCTGCCTTTGAAAACACACGGTTTCACGTATAACTGGCCTTTGGAATATCTGCACTCTAGGTACCTGACAGGGAATATCTAACTCACTTGCTATCAAAAGCTCAATTGAGCAAAAAAAAATATTTATGGAAGCTACTCTGAAGGGCGTGCCCCCATTTCCCTAGACAGGCCAAAATCTGTCCCTGGATTAAGCTGGAACAGCTAAGTATTATGCCCTGGACTGAACTGCAGCATCCTTGTGGAATTATTTTACTGAATTTATCCTTGGGCCTTATACTCTCTGCTCACACCGAGGAATACTAACGAAGCTTACTGCTGTTTTCATCTTTTAAATGTTGTTCACTGTATGAACAAAATGTTTTCTTTATGAGGAACCAAAAGAGAAATAACTGAGCTTCTTCCAGGCATATTTTTCCCTTATGGACAGATACATGGATCTTGTAACTTACCATGTCCCCCTCTTGCAAGCTTTGAAACAGTAAATTCATGATCTATTAACAAGAAATATGCTGGGAATTACACCAAATCTTTTATATTCTAAATGGTCACCTGCTTTATCTTTTCTAATCTAATTTTTTCCATTTTGTCTTTGTTTTCCTCCACTTATTTAAAAAAAAATTCCTCCCACTGTAAAGACTGCTTTCATAAATCACTTTGAATCCTTCCTTTAGATGTTGGATTTCAATAAATAAGCACCGTGGAGAACAGTGAGAGAATAAGATTTAAAAAGACCTGGACTCCACTCCTTTCCCCCTCTATTTTTAAGTCTTTTTATAGCTGTTCCTTCAAGCAAAAATTTAGGACTCTACCTAAAAGGAGAATATCACTGAGTTTCACTGAGAAATAATAATGTCAATTACAACTTTATAAAGTTCCAAACAACACATTAAAATAAATGAAAACTTTCTGCTATATGATTACATACACAAGAAAATTTGGCCCACTATCCTCACATATTACTGTACCATTCATATTCAGTAAATACAAGGACAGTTGTAATTGCCTCACCACTAAGTCACGCCTTAAATCCGTCCGACTGGGACTGCATCCTTTAAAAAAGTCCTGAAGGCCAGCCGTGTCCTACAGTTGACAAATCTGATAGCTTTTTGAATTACTACTCTCTTTCTCTACATTTTAATTTTAGTAATACCTCTGTCAATCACTTCCTCCATTTTGAAACTCTCTTTACCTCTGATTTTGTCCTATTGTACCTATAACTGTCCATTCTTTCATTCAAAAATATTCACTGAGGTGCAACTATATATATATTAAGCTAGATGCAAACTCCTATCTGCCTTATCCTTACACGTTCCATTTAGTTTTGCTCATCATACTCAAGCCTTAAATAAGAACATTTCCCAAAGTTCTTCCCCCAGTTCTCTTCTTTCTGCCTCTGCACCTTTTCCCTCAGAGGATCTGCTTGCTGGTGACTGGCCTCTGCGTCTCCAGCACGCATCCCAGACCCCCTCTCGCACACATTGCACATCCGAGTCACAGTCTGTCCCTCCTCTCCTTGAACCAGTTGCTGCTTCTGGCCCCCATATTGCTCTCCCAATTTTCCCAGTGCCCCAGGCTTGATTCCTGAGTATATGCTTTCTGCTTTGCCACTCTTCTGTCAAACTTGTAACCAGTTGTGAAACACTTTTTCTTCTGAAATATATTTTTCTTTCCATTCTGCAGACTCAGGTCAGGCTCCTCCCCTCCCCTCTCACACCCTGATTAATGCCAGGGGCCCAGCCAGGCCCCTGCCTTCATGGGAGACTCTTTCTGTTTCCTCCACAGGCTCACCCTGTACACTGTCTCCAGATCAGTGTTTAAAAAGCACTCCTATTCTGGCAGCACTTGACCGCTCAGAGAACTTCCACGGTTCCCCACAGTATACCAAAAAAAAAAAAAGTTCTATTTACCATTATATTTGGAAAGCTAAATTGATTTTTTTTCTTTTGCCTTTTGAGAAAACTGCTAGGCAAGTAAAGAACAGAGGAAGGGAAAATTAACATTCGTATCTTCAATTCAAATTGTTTTTCAATAAGAAATGACAAAAGGCAAAATTTCAGTCTGAGTCAGGCTCATTTTTTTTTAAACTGCTACTGGAAACAAGGCAAAAAGGCCCACATTAGTGCTGTGAACTGTGGGAATTCTACCCGCAGTGGGGAAACAGGTTTGCAGCTTCTCGGGGGATGTGTAAAGCAGGAGAGCTAGAAATTGCGAGCGCAGCCCTGCAGCTCGCTCCCCTTTCAGGCAGAGACAGCCCATCCTGTCCCTGCAGCTCATTTAAGCTGCTCATCTGCCATTCCAGCTTTCTCTTAGCACATATTCTGTAATGATAAGGCCCCCTCTTGTCACGTTCACTTGCCACATGTAATTAAGTTCACACCTCCCTTTAGACAGTTCATATCAGCAGATGACCAGCTGGATACCACCCAGCTGGAAAAACATCCAGTTTTGGATGCAATAAGGCAATCAGAGAGGGGGAAAACAGAGAAAAATAATCAGAATTTTCCTGTAAATGCCTTAAATTAAAACTCATATCGTCTGATATCCTCACAGTGTCTTCTCTGAAAGAAGTCCTCACATCATGTAAGGCTAGAAAGGGTCTCTGGTGAGCAGCAGGAAGACACCACGTTCAGTAATGCACTATGATCAGAAGGCAGAGGCTGCTTGTGTACAGGGGCCTGCGGAGTGGGGGTGGCGTGTTACAGAGCAGAAAAGCTCTGTGATGAGATAACTTGGGTGTGAATTCCACCTTCCCTCACTTGGTAACTGGGAAAGCTTGGCTATGTGACTTAATCTCCCTGTGCCCTAGTTTTTGATCTTTAAAGTGGCGCTCATCCTAACTTGGAGAGCTGCAGTGAGGAATAAATGAAGTTAGAAATATGCTGACTATATGGTACCTATGTTTTACATTATTATTATATCCTAAAACACGTTCTCATCATTGTCTTTTTATAAGAAAACTGCACCCAGTGCACGGCAGAAAATTAGTGAAGGGAGGACTTTCTCATTTATTTGAGACAGTTACCCTCCTGTGTTAGTCCTTGTTTTATGGTCTCTTGCACATATTTTCTTTGAGATCTTGAGGTTTCTCTAGCTTAATTTTTATAAACAGAACTTCTTTGATGCACACAGAATTTAATATAGTCAGTCCCTCTGCACTTAACTTCAGGTGGTAGGCATAGTAAGGAGTGATTTATAGTTTCCTTTTCTTTAAAGTCAAAGGCAGAGGAGCCTAAGTGCCAAAGTGCCTACTTTATCAGTTTTCTGTTTTCTCTCCATCTAAAGTGTACAATTATCCCGGTCAGGGTGCCAGCTAACCCGTGGGAAGGAAAACCACAGGAGGCACCTGAGTGTCTCATCTTTCAGCCTCAGCATGCCTTGCAGCAGCCCCTTGAGACGTGATCTTCAGCTAAAGATAGTGGTGATTGGATGGAAAGTAAGAGACCCTGAACACCTCACTGCTTCTCAGCATAAAACACAAGTCAATACTCATTTCTGTTTAAACAAAATGTCCATGTTGGCCAAGACCCTGGGGGCCGGATGTACTTAATGCTAACCTTGACTCCGGACAAGAGAAAGAAGGAAACAACAATATAAAAGGGATCCTGGAGTTGGCTAATCTTCATTTCTGTGGCTGCCAAAGAAGGGCGGGTGCTCTCAGGGCCTGTGAATGTTACTTTGCACTGAGAATGAAAAAATGAATATTTGATGTGAGCAAATACAAGCCTTTTAGTGATTTTCTGTTGCTCGAATTTGAGGCCCATGAATAATGCTCAAGGAATTTTATTATTTTCTTAGATAGACTGGTGTTTGTGCAGGTGAAACTGCACCATGTGAGGGAAACAACATCCTGGGTCCTACAGATTATAAATATCAACATCTCCGCCTGAGAGCGTAATAAAAGCTTTCCGGCTACTGAACAAGACTGAAAATGGATGTTTTTCTGAGCATAAAGGAGGAGGAGAAAGGGTATAATGTGTTGTAATGATAACCTAGTTCTACATTCGTCACTCACGCTTTGCACTCAGAGCTCAGGGCTGAGGAGCTGACGCCTTTCCCCTTGGGGAAAACAATGATAATTACATGTAAGGATCTTCATTTAACAACCTCTCTTATTTTAAGATCTCAGCACACTTCAGAAGCACTAATCAGTCAGGCCTCTAAAGCACTATTTACCGTGCATGCTTTATGTGAGAACTAATCAAGAAAGACCAGATACAATTTGTTAGAGGCCAAACTGAAAATTGAATTTAGGACTTCGAAACTCCTCTTGTTATTTTTACTTAAAATAACTTCATCTTTATGATTATGACACATTCAAAACAGCCCTTAGATTCAACCTAGTTTTAATCAACCTTAGATCTATTCAGAAAGGCCCAAGTGTGGATTTTTTTGGGTGCTAAATGTAAGAAGGAGGTTGGTAACACTTAAAAACTGGAAGACAGTCACAAAAAGAAGAATCTGCAGGTGAGAATAAAGTGCCAGGGGGAGGCAGGGGTTAAGAGGCTGTCTAATTCTTTGTGATCTTTCACCCTATAATGGCAACAGGCCAGACCCCTGAGCCAGGCCACATGAAGCCGATGTCTCTTTGTTTACCCGTGTACCTCCTGCCCAATCTACGGATCACATTTCTGGCCACTGTTCTCAGCTAGTGTGGCCACAGGTCCACTTGGGAAAAGATCTCTGGCCTTCTGCCCATATTCAAGACCTGCAGAAGTGTCTGGAGCTTCAAAGACAAAGAAAAGTCAAAGCTGACCTTTTATAGGTCTACGGGGCAAAGGATATGCCGGAAGCAGGGCACTCAAGACAAAAACACATTGGCTTTTTTCTTTCTAGTGTACAGTCCTTCAAGTCAGACATTGATAGAGTCAAGTGCACCAAAACAAGCATATTTACCTCATATTTTCTTTCCTGTGTACAGTCACATACATTTCGTAGACTCTCCCTTGGGGAATGGCCCCAGCGGGAATCAGCAAGCTTACTCCTGAATAGCAAAAGAGAAAAGCAGTCACATAAGACCTATGAATCAAAAGAGAACTTCACAGAATGCCTTTGAAGCAAGTGAAAAGGAGTAAGGAGATTCTGCGGCCACGTAGCCATAAGCTGGCTGCTTTTTCTCTAAAGACATGTAACTATTCATAGCTGCCCCGCTTTCCTTCCTTATCGGCCTTATTTGTTACCACAGCTCCCTCTGAACTGTTACGGAATTGCTTAAAGGAATGATGTAATTTTTTCAACTCCTGTTTTATTTAAGGAATAGACAGATGGTTCCACTGTTGTTTTCCTTGTAAAACGAAGGGAAAACCAACAACTGCTCTTAAAACTTCAAACAGCTGTTAATGATGCATCGTTTCTAATTAAAAAAAGAAAATCCCCACAAGATTCAAAGTCAGGAAAATGCTAACCTCAACAGTATCAAAAACGTTTACTTCTGAAGTATCTGGTTAGCATCAGTGTTTTTCCATAACAGAATAACTGGTGAAGAACGTCTTTCATCATACATAACTCTAGAAAGTGGAAGTCACTGCTAGTTTTAGTCATTGGCAGGGCAGGTAGGTTTTTACTTAGCTGCTAATTGGTGCATTTGTAGGACTATTGGCTTCAGCTCTGTTCTAAGTTAACTGTGCCTATAGCCCTGGTTTGCAACTTGAGGTTGCATCAGAATCACCTGGAGGATTTGCAAAAGCACAGATTACTGGATCCTACCCCCGGAGTTTCTGATTCAGAAGGTCTGGGGAAACTCTAGCTCTAACTAGTTGCCTGGTGGTGCCAATGATGGCAGACTGTGGACCACACTGTGGGAACCACTGGCCTGTACCACTGTGGCATCATCACAGAGAGTAATTCAGGGTGGGCAGCGACCTGAAGACACATGGCTCCATGATTTTATTCTAATAAATGTAGTTAATTTCAACTCAATAAAAATGTACATACATGATTGTGAGTACAGGTGCTTGGCATACTGTGAATGCCAGAAGTAAAAGATAATGTTCTCGTCTTTGAGTAGCTTATAATTTACTTAGCAAGGAAGGGGAGTATGCCAAATGAGCACAGCGCAATAAGGAAACATGACCAACCACGCTGGAAAGCCTCAAGAGTAAAGAATGGAGAGTTGAAGCAGAATAAGTACTCAAAGCCTTTGTGTAACTGGTTGAAAAGGTTGAGGCATGGCCTTCTTGAGAAGGAAGCTGACATGTGTGCTGTGGTGCCAGGGGAGTGAAGGTCACGCTCATGTCAGGGTGGTTGGTGAGGCACAGAGTGGAAGCAGGAAGACCACCCATGAGGCGCCCAAGCCTCAGTATTTTTATTTTTCCCAGTGGGAACAATCAAATGTTCTTTTCTGTCTGTTATGGGGATGAAACAGAATTATGCATGTAAAGTAACAAGAATAAGGCATGACATATATTAGGTAACTACTGTTACTCTATTAAATAAAGTAATGCATGTAAGTCACTGTTCCCCAGGATAAAGTAGTTAAAACATGCTAGCTCCCTCCTTTCCACTTAGAAGCCTTTATAGTAATTCATATGTGAAAAAGTGACAGGTGTAGAAATGGGAAGGAGAGGTAGAATCCAGTGAATATTATGAATAAAAATGTCTTGGGAATAATATAATGTTTAAACAATGAAAGAACAATAGAGTACATTTTGATCTATTAATTTTATAGACTTAAAATGTATTTAAAATCATGATTTTAAAGAGCATGCAATAGCATGAGAATAAGTTGAATAAAAGCATTTTATATAATGTATAATCTCAGCTATGTAAAATATATTTTTAAAAAGGAAAAATGATATTCCATTAAATATTTCAGTTTATTAAAATGTACTTTTAAAGGTATGAGGTGAAAAATTGTGAGAGCAAGAATCAAAGACAAGTTCATATTCAGACCTGAAGACCAACTAGTTCTGTATATTACTTGGCTTTATGGCTGTTTACACATTACATTCTCATCTTATGCCACATGAAGACCTTGGTTCAATCAGATTGTTTCTTTTTGCTGTACCTACAAAACACTCTGTCTTGTCCAAAAGAGCTACTGTATGTTACAGAGGAATCGATTACCCCTCTTATAACTGAGTTCCAAACCCATAACTACTATTAATGAATACCAAACTTTAAACATTGTCACTAACTTCACTATTCACGTTCACTATTTAAGAGCTTTATGGGGCTTATTTTCTAGAAGCAGACAACTAAATAAATAAACTGAAAACTGAGTAATAATACAAAAGGAAACATGGTGAAGTTGTGATTCTGGGTAGATATACCAGAAGTAGGAGTGAGTACCTTATAAATACCTTGAGACTGAAGACTGTAATAAAGAGTTAAATTAATAAATGAAGACTGGATGTCTGTTACGTCCTCTGATCATCTAAAGATCAGTATTCTGAAGTATTGCTTCCTGTAGGAGTTGGAACTGAACCAGCTGATACGTTTTCTAATTAATTTCTTTTAAAGTGTGATGACAACAGTGAGGGCTTGTTACTTAATGTTGCCTTCTGAAGTTCTATTAAAAGGAAAGTCAGTGGCAGTTCTAAACAATGCCTTGGCAGAAAGTTGTGAGTATAATATTTCTAGAGGAAGTATTCTCAGAGTTGGCTGGAAGAAGATAAATGGTTTTGCTGATTTTGTCTGCAGTAATGTTTAGTTTACATCGAAAGTAGATTTGGTTTAGATAGGCTACATTTAACTTTTCAGGCCTAACAAAGACAAAAAAAAAGAGTTTGGTACAAGAATATGTTTTCAAGCTCTATCTCTGCAATGTAAAAACCTTTAGGAATTACCTGAATTGGGAACAATAAGGTGACCCCCAAGGGAGTTGAAGGTGCCAAACGCAGTGCAGGATGGGTCTGTCTGCCTTGCTAGACTCTGATTCTTCAGGTTGAGGGCCTCATTCTCCAACAAGGATTGGGTCATCTGAGGGGACAGCTTTGATGCAAACTCAGAGAGGTCATCCTGGGGTGTGACAGCACCTGAGGTATTGTACACTTTGATTTTCAGGTTAGGCAGTGGATCCAGGATTGGAGAGTTGGTCATTGGGATTTTGTCCGAGACATCATGCAAGGCATAGACAGGTCCTCTGTACATGGCTGCAGCTGATGTGAGGTCTGGGGGTACCGCCAGGAGATCTGAGTCAGAAAGAGAAAGGACGTCCAGTTGCGTTCTTCATTCAGGCAACTTACATTAGTCAGACTTCCCCTGACACTTTCTGAACCAACAGCAAAGCAACTCAACACATATTACATCTGGACAGACTAACATTGCTGAACACAAGGCAACTAGAGAGCTAGGATCTGTTCTAGTATTGGCCACAAATAAACAGATATGTTCATTCTATATTCTGCCTTGAAATCTATTCATTGCTTCTAAGGTATTTAGCTATTTCAACAGACTGTATTCGTAGACGGGGATCCTTATTAGGTGACTATAGGTAATAATTTCTCTTGTCTATACTGGTTTAGGGTTCATCTGTAGACCACTGTATTCATAGCAATACAAGATGCCTTGTCAAAAGGAAAAAGACTCAAGAAATCAATCAACCAATCTGTGTACTTAAAAGTATGACTTGAGAAACCTGTTAGAGAAGGAAAAAATGACTTATGCACCCTGTCAACTTTAATTTGTTATGTGAATGAAGTTAACAAGTAACCAACAAAATAGACCAAAATCCCTGCCTTCAGGGAACTTACAGTCCAGCTGAACTGGGTGTTTTCATTGATTCTGAGGACACATAAGGAGGCTGCTTACATGCATAAGTCCAAGTGTGAAGGGCAGTGTCAACTGACCTTGCCTTGCTGCCTTGATGTTCACAGGCTGAAAGCCTCCGTTGAGTGCGGAAGAGTCAATGATGTCAGACTCAAAGTCACGATGATTTTTCCGATACACAAAGAGAGCCACAACTACAGAAATGGCCAGGCAAACTATCACAGCTATCACAATGCCAACATACAGAGCAACATCATCTGAATCAGGAGCAGCTAAAGGGGAGGAGGAGACATTGGATTCACTGGTTAGAGAAATTTCCCACAGTACACATATGTATTGCTATAATTTTTTCAGACATTTATTGCCTTTTTTATAGGTTAATTTCAAGTCTATTTCAAAAGCTATATAAAGCAACTGTGGCCTTTCAGTGGAAGATTAGCTCTGATTTCTTTTCCTTTCTCACTCTGCATCTATCCACTCACTAATCTGTCTTAAATTGGGCACCATAACAGACCACTCATTACAAGGCATAAAAAGAAACTGGAGCTAAAACCATCCCAACCCACAAGGAAAAAAAGTTTATTACTAATTTCAGGTGGAAAAGTTTGGGAGGCAGCTATGAATTCACTGACAGTTCTTTAAAAAGGTAAACATAAACACTCTGTTAGAAATACCTGGCAGGTTCTGACTCTGTATATTTATTGAACCAGAATATTTTTCTAAGTATCACTCCAAGTCACAAAATTACTTTCCAGAGCACTCTTCTCACTTTCCCCTAAATCAGTGAAGGGGTGGGTGGGAATGGCGGAACCAAGCAAACAAACATTGGGAGCAAACACGCTGAGTTTGAAAGGTGTACTTTCAGAAGACTCAGATCTGGGGAGCAGAGGTTAATGCTGATAACGCCATGCTTTTGCTACAGATTCAGTATCACCTCTGAGAACCCTGAGCTTCTCACGGTTTCTTGTCAGAGATTTACACTTGAGCTACTCATTACTGGAATAAAAAAAAATAGCTCTATGGTGTACTGAGTAAGATAAAGGCCTGGTTCAGTGATCAGAAAGGTCAGACTACCCCCAAAAGGCAATTAAGCATTTGATTAACGCAGTGCGAGGTCAGATGGGGAGGGCTGTCTCTGGGTAAAGCAAGAAGAAAATTCCTGTAAAAGTTGTACGTTGCCTTAGTGGCATAGAACATGCTTTTTTTTTAGTTTTTTTAGGGGGAAGTAATTAGGTTTATTTTATTAATTTTTTTAATGGAGGTACTGGAGATCGAATCTAATATGTCGTGCATGCTAAGCATGAGCTCTACCTCTTGAGCTATACCCTCCCCTCAAACAGGTTTTAATCCAATGGCAAATGATAATAGAAGCTGACAATTAAAACAAAACAAACTAACAAAATTAAATCTTTCCTGAATCCCATAGACATGTTTAAGTCTCTGGGTTTAGTTTCCTGTAATGGACAAAAATTGTCAGCAAAGTTAACCAAAGCTGTTCTGCTCACTGTAAAAGGTGATTAAACTGATATTTCAGATGGTCAAGAACAGCTTTTTTATGCTCAACTTTATACGTGTACATTTTGTAGGGAAAGAATTTTCAGATTTGTAGGTCCCATGATGCCTTCCCAAGAGTTGAGGAGCCACTACTTTCTCTTAAGACTCACAGCCACATGATTTTTCTGGTGCAATGATGCATCCCTTGGCTTGCCAGTAGCCCACGTGATCACCCATGCTCTCAAGTCGTGTACCTTCAATACAGCGACAGTACAAAAGAATTCCCTATGGGAAATCCCTTCATCTCTCTTAGTATTTTGTGTTTAAATGTACTATATGTGAAAGAATCTTCTTTCTTTTTAAACGATTGTCTTTCTCAAAGTTTCCAGAATATCTGTTTTCACATCAATCAAGTCAACATTGACAGATCTTTTTGGAAAACTAGTGCCATACCAAACCCTCTGGTTATGTAAGCACTGCTTTCAAAGTGCTGACTTCACTTTGCCACTGGGTTTTATTTGAGGCCCTACAGCTGCATTCTGAATTCTGATCAGAATACTGTATCTAAATCCTTAATGTTTTACTTTACCAGGCTGTAATTACTTACACAACATTCATGATTTCTAATTCAATAGATGTGCATTTTCTCATTCCTTTACTTTTTAGCATTTGAACTCTGCCCTTTATTTAGATCAGCATATTTCATGAAGTGTTTTGTCAGCTACTGGGACTCAAGCTTTGAACGGTAAACTGATAGATTTTAAAGCTGGCTGAGACTTGAAATAACCCTTTCTTCTCTTCAGCAGTGAAAATCTAATTTGTTTTTCATGTTAGAATATATTAGGTGCCTATTTCCTGCGTGCACATCTGTGATGCAAAGAAAGGTAAACTTGAACTGGGGGCAATAACGTTAAATGATTATTCAGCAACATAAAAACCAAACATCAAACTTACAAGAAAATCCATATTCATTCTGGGTTCTCTGTTCAGTTGAAATAGGATAAATGAAACCTTGAAAAGAAACAAAAAATGAAACAAAAATGGGAACAAAATCAAATTAATCAGGGAAACAAAACGAGAAGCATGAAAAATGGTTTAATTAAAATAAAAGGAGAAGAAACCTGGGTCCTTTAAAATTCTGGTTCAGTACAGAATTATGATTCTGCATCTCCTGTCTGCTCTGGAGTCTCACTAAGAATTAATAAGTAGGCAGATTGAATTTCAGAGCAAAAACTGGTCTCGAGTCACTAACTTCGGAGTGCTTAAAGTCTTTCTTTTATTGAGCATAAACTCTAATGGATCTAATTTATTTCAGACATCAAGGGTCATTAGCATAAGGAAAATCTTTTTTCCTTATCCCTGCCATATGCTTTAATTCCCAGGACACATTCAGTAAGGCTCTAAACAGTTTTTTTTCTCTTTTATTTAATCATAACAGCTTGCTCTCGGTCTAACAGAACCAAAGAAGACCTGTCGTCATTGGTCAAAGGTTAAATACCCATTTACTGAGCTGAGCAAGACCACCTCTCCTCCCTCTGTCTCACATCTATTTTTTGGATTTTCGTTTGTTTCTTGCCTCTCCATTTAACAGGAATCCAATAGGTTTTGCCCAGGGACCAAGCAGTTTGTCAATGCAGTTGAAACTGGATGCTTTTTATTTGAAATCATTTAAAAATCAATAGCATGTAGAGGTTATAAGGTTATTTATTTTAGGGCCTCAGAGGAATAGTGTAAATCGGGTAAAATAAAAAGCTCATCCCAATAGTAAATGCAGAAATAACACCAGCAGTTTTATTTTCCTTTCTTTTTAGTGTATTCTAAAAGGTAGGAAACATAATGATGAGAATGACTGATGATGAAAATAACAAAAAAAAAATAATAGCAATAAATGTGAAGTAAAAAACCAGCAGAAAACATTTAAAAAATGTGGAACGTAAATTTTTTGAAATGAAAATCTAGGGAAGAATTTCAAGTATGACATAACTAGCACCCACCGTTTCCTAATATTTAATATTCTACAATACATGAATTAATCAAATGATAACAGCACCATTTGGATTAATCAAATGAAGATGAGTAAGAACCATGTGAGTTAAACTTTCCTAGTAATACTCAAGAGCAAAAAATGTAGAGAAACTGCAACTGTTAAAATTAAAGGCCTGTAATGATACTAAAGGTAACTCTAAATCATGCCTCAGGTAGATCTTTCGTACTTTGTAGAACACACAGTTCTTAAAAGCTATTTACCTATTTTGAGGGAACTAATTCTAGAGAAACATGCAGTGCTACCTTAATGAAAGAGAGGTTTGCTATAGCACAGACAGATTTGCTCTGAATTAATTTTTAATGCTTTATTTTAGAGCAATGATTGCAACCTCCTACTCAGTTTTATAAATATTATATTCCTTATTCCAGTTGTCTGAGTCCATGTATTAGGTTTGATTTTCATTTTTAAACACTTCTGTCTGGTAATAACCTTTTTCCATTTGTATTCTGTGAACTCAATAAAAGGACATCTGGGACATATACAAGCACAAGAAAAAAAGGTTATTTATTTTTGAAACCCAAAGACTTAAGACAATATAATTTCACTGCTAGCACAGGAGACCAGATAATTGATGTCACTGTTGTAGGGATGATGTTAAATAGAGGGATGTCAAAAGATTTATTTTTTTGAAGGTGGGAGGGCCTAGAAATGAGGATTTAGGGATGGTCTGAAAATTTTGGTAAGAATCAGAGTGGGCCTGTAGGAGGAAGAAGAAGAAGAGCTGGACCTGACAAAGGGAGAAGCCTGTCTTCAGAGACACAGCTCGGGCCGAAACTTGACCCTGTAAAGCAGTTCTGGGTCTCCCCTGGCTTTCATCTCCACTTCCCAGCAGAGTTCCTATTCTTGACAGACAGACCAAGGAATAATAAAGAGGAAGCTGATAATGTTTTCATGTTTAATCTCTACTTTCCCATGTTTATGTACATCTGGACCACTCAATAAATATTTTTGTGCCTTATGGTATTCATCTGAGACTTATTATTCTCAGGCACAGAACTGGAATCCATTCATTCATCCATTCATTCATTCACCTAAGAAGTACTCCTGAACCCTATTACCCCTGGGTTCTATTCTAGGCGTAGGGGTACAATGACAAAAGAGATGGGAAAAGTCACTGCTTTCATTCCTGTTTAACAGAAAATAAACAAAATAATGAAGGTCATTTCAAATGCGTCCTTTTGGAAAGTAAAACAAAAGAACATAATGTGATAGAGATAAAAGAATGACCAACTCAGGGAATCAGGGAAGAATCTTCTGTTGAAATGAAATTTAAACTGAAGCTTGTATAATGAGAAAGAAGCAAGCAAGTAAAGATCTAGAGGAAACAATGCTCCCTGAAGAGGGACAGTGGATGCAAAAGTCCTGACATGAAACCAGAGCCGTTAGAGGGTAGGGAGTGAGAGGAGAGAGGGAGGAGGTGGGCTCAGGGCGATGAGCAGCAGGCAGGTCATGCAGGCATGACGGTCCACGAGGAGGCATTCAATGTTATTCTAAATAAAATGCTAATCCTGTGAGTGAATGTAATTTTGAAAAGATCACTTTGGTTTCTCTACAGATAATGGAGAAGCAAGGGAATGAAGTGACAGGATTTTATGGATAGTATCTATGAAACATAGCCTGGGGGATATCTATCAATAGGTGTATCAATATACTTAACAGAGTGTTGCATTTGAGGTTATTCTAAAATTTAAAAAAAAAACACCTCACTATTAGTTATTCCTTGTAGCCAAC